GAGGGGAACTTTGGGCTGGGCGGTGGTCTGTGAGGGGAGGGCGGTGAGGCCGTAGTCTCTTGGCGTGGGAAGGAGCCTCTTGGCTGGGGGAGGGCTCACTGGGGCCCGTGTCCCCCTCCCAGGCTGCGGGGACGCCAGGCAGGCATGGTCGGCTATGACCCGGAGGCCAAGTGCGTCTCCTCGGTGGAAGCGGCGGTAGCAGGATCAGCATCTGGCTTGGTCAGTCGGGTCCTTGTCAGTCCCTTGGACGTCATCAAGATCCGCTTTCAGGTACCTTCCTCGCGGCATGCTTGGGGACAGGGGGTGAAAGAGCCTGTTACAGAGCAGAGCTGATCTTGTCCTGGATGAATAGGTCACCTGTGCAACCCGAGAGCAGCAAATCTGCTCGTCAGCCCTCACCTACATTGTATACAGGTTATGCAAGGTAGTAGGGCTATCTTGTGTCCACCACTTCTGTTTATATAACTTGTGTGTTTGAATGGGATCTTGTGTTTTTCATCATTTGTTCTCTTTCTCTGTTTTTCTGTATGCTTTCCACCAACTGAATTTCACCATCATCCCTACTGATTACCTTTGTGTTGCATGCATGTTTTTATTCTTTTAGAGCCCTACGTAAATAGCATCCCAGTCAGTTCTGGATGTGATTCTGTGGGAAGACAGAATGTAACCTCTTAGCATTCGTTGGCTGACAGGGTTGTGAATTCCTGAATTGGACTCTTGAACCTTGTTGAAATGCAATCTGGAATTGAAAATATTTTCTCTATTTTCCTGCAGCTTCAGATCGAGCAGCTCTCCTCCAGAAACCCAGGGGCTAAGTATCATGGCATCTTGCAAGCTGTACAGCGCATCTCCCAGGAAGAGGGGTTGCTAGCCTTCTGGAAGGGCCATGTTCCCGCTCAGCTCCTTTCAGTTGGCTACGGAGCTGTTCAGGTAAGGTGACCAGATATCATCTGGGCCCAGTGTACGTGCATAGGACTCTGCTTTGCTTCTCTTCAGACTGGCTGCGTGGGCAGATGCAGGAAGGTCCAGGTTTAAACTGTACTGATACAAGCCAGCTCCAGTCTCAAAGATGTGTAGTTGTATAATGCTGATGTACAATGCCAAAGTTAATGTTCCTGAGCTTGCTGAACGGCCTTCCTGGCCAGCCTGGAGCACAGCTAGAGCAAACCGAGTTCTCTCTGTATCAGGTGTCATAGACAAGCCCTGTTTGTTCCTAACACTTGGCTTAGCTGTTCATGTTCCAAGCTTGTGTAGTTTTTTGCTTTGGTTCACGTTGTCACCCTGACAGCTTGTTAGTAAAAAAAAAATCAATGAAGTTGATGATGATGTTTTACACAGCATTGTTATGCTTAATTTGTAAATATTAACAACACATTTTATGAGCAGTGGTTGAAAGAGTAATGGACAGCATATCCGTAATACAGCAGATACTCTTCAGGATACATGGGGCATTAAAATGAGTTTTTCATAATTCTAAATGCAAGATTTAGCAGAAATGTCAAGAGATCAGAATATCCCAAGCATTCCCTGGGCTGCTCAGTAATTTTTACAAGGTATTCTTTGAGCACATGCTCCCACAGGTTGCAAGTTGGGGAGGACTTTTGAAGGACAGAGACAGAAGGTGGTTACAAGCGGTGGGTGGAGCTCTTGTGGTGAAATGAAAGAGGAGTGGGAGATCCGTGTCAGTGATAAGGATTGACTCCTTGACCTGTGTATGTTTGTTTCTGTAAGTTCATGGCATTTGAAAGCTTGACAAAACTGGTGCACAATGTCACCTCATACAATGCCCGCGATTCCTTTGTGCACTTCGTCTGCGGTGGACTGGCTGCTTGCACCGCCACTGTTGCAGTTCAGCCTGTTGACACACTACGCACCCGCTTTGCTGCTCAGGGTGAGCCTAAGGTATGGTTGAGGATTCAATATTTGGAAATGTCATCCATAGCAGTAGCAATATTTCATGTGTATGAATACAGGAGGTTTGAAAAGTACGTAAGAGTATGTGGGCTGGAATAAAGGAGCAGGTGCTGTTATTGGGCAATGTTTGCACTGTTGCCAAGTTATCCTCTGTGCTGTTGACACAGCTTTCTTAATTATGTTTTGCTGCTCCTGATCATGTTTGACTCCTGACAGGTGATCCAGAGAAATGAGAAACTGTCCTTAACAGGATAACTCAACTTTCATTTCGGCTGTTGGCCATTTATAGAATGCATTCCACAGTCTGTTGAACATTGCATGTTTTAAACTTTCCACTTGCATAGAGTCATGTTTAGATAATGATGGAGGTGATACTTGAAACCAGTCACCTTTCACCTGTGTTTCATGTTCTTTTTTATGCAAGAATTGGTCTCCATGCTAATTAGGTCTGTGATAACTAGACTTATATGGGTTTGTATCAGAGCCATTTCTGGTTTTTTACTTACCCTGCAGTAGAATCGCAATATATATTATATGAATTCTGTGGCAGGAGCAAGCAGAGCTGTTAAGAGAAAAATAAATATCTATGATGCAAGTGGTCTCAGGCCGCAGCTCTCAGTTCTGTGCCTTGTTTCATCCCCTCAGAAGCACAGCTTGGAGTGGGATACAATGTCAGCCCAGGCCTTTCAGTGCAGAGATAACGATCATTCGTTCAGTTAGTCTCTTGTGGCTCAGAGGTAGGTTTAGGTTGTCAGGTTGCTTGTGAGAGTCACAAGGCATTAGCTGAGAATACTGTGCGAAGATGTGCAAAACCACATTGTTCATCACTTTGTGCTGAAAATCAGCCAGTTGTATTTTGGGCAGTGGGAAATGCCTGTCCTCATTACTGGGAAATAACCTGTCCTTTAGTTTGCTGTTTTTAAGCCTGTTTCACTAGAGAGTCAGCCTCTTCTTTATTGTCCAGATCTATCCTAACCTTCGCCATGCAGTGGTGACGATGTACCAGACAGAAGGGCCTCGGACTTTCTATAGAGGTTTGACCCCCACAATCATTGCTATCTTTCCGTATGCTGGTCTCCAGTTCTCCTCCTACAACATCCTGCAACAGTTTTCTGAATGGGTGATTCCAGCTGAAGAAAAGAAAGGAGGTAGGCACTTGGGACAGTGATGTCTGTGATCTGGAGAGAAAGAGAGGATGAATGCTGGTTTGGGAGACTGACATAAGCTGAGTTTTCTGTGCTATCACTCTTTCCAATGCAACATCTGAAAAGTATCTTAATTTCCCATCTCTCATTGTTACTCCTGCACACATATTGTGAAAGTAAGTATAGTCAAGTTTACAAGCAACTCATGTTATGGAATAACCATGATGGAAATGTGGATGGATGGGAAAGTGAAGTGTCACAGGCCGGGGTACTCTTCCTTGAGCTGTGTCACATTACTCATACTGTGGGAAGACAGTGCTGGTGTAATCTTTCTCTCAGTTTCATTAGTGCTGTGGGGACAGGACTCTTGGATTTCCTCAGGAAATCTGCCTGCAGATTCCAGCACAGCTGTTACAGAAGAGGATTCATTTAGCCTAATTTAAAACTGCCAAGCTCTTCATTTGATATTTTTATGTTGATTTCTAGCTCCGTTATAAAAGAACCTCCTCCTGATGGGACCTGTCACCTTGACAGTTCTAGATACCAGTGCCTCCCTGAGAGATAGGATATGTAGCATCATTGTGGTTTTGTTCCTCAATGGAATTTTAATCAAGGAAGTAGACTGTTCAGTATCATGTCTGCATATTTATTTTTAGATGGCAGAGGCTGGTGGTGGTTTTGTGCTGGGAACTCATGTTTGTCAGGAAAAATCTAATACCACAAAACTCATTTCCCACAAGCCTCTGAAATCATCAGGCAGCGTCAGCTTGTGACTTATTCCCATAAGTCACTTTGAGCCATCAGGAGTGCAAGATCTCCAGTGACTGGGCTTTTACTGGGGGACATGAAAACTTTTCCACCCACTAGTGGCAGGTTCTCTGGTGACTAGGGTTTTTTGTACAATGCCACTTGCCAGAGCAAAAACATAAATCAGCGTAATGAACCAAGATGAGCCATTACACTCGGCTCCAATGGACACTGTAAGCCTCATGTAGAAAATGCAGATTGAGGTTCTGTGGCCCAAGCTATGCAGAAGAGGTGATGTAACTTTAAAGGGCCTCTTTGGCCTTACTTCTTATGAAAAGTGATTTTTCACTTACCTCTCATGATCTTTAATCAGAACTTTTTTTTCCCTCCCTGCTATCCTCTCCCCTTCCTGCTTCTCAGGCAATGTTAAAAACCTTGTTTGTGGCAGCTGCGCTGGAATCATCAGCAAAACCCTCACTTACCCTTTTGACCTGTTCAAAAAACGACTGCAAGTGGGTGGCTTTGAGCGTGCCCGGGCAGCCTTTGGGCAGGTGAGAAATGTTGGAATTGACTGATTTTTCACGAGCATGGATTTTCATCAAGACAATTCAGAGCCAGTCCTTTGCACTAGAATGCAGTGATGATTCACCAGTGGTACCTGTTGTGTTCATATTCGGGTTGGGAGCTCCCAGGGAACTTCTGGGAGCTGAGCATTGGTCTTGCTTAATAATGGGAATAGCTGCATGAATATACTGGGTTAATTTTATGACACTGTCCAACATGCCTGTGCTCTGCCTTCTCGTCCATCTCCATCAGGTTGGCTGTCTTGGAGCTGGGGATGCGTTAGGCAGGCAAAGGGGGTTTCGAATTACTTTTCTAGTTGTGGCTTGGTATTTCTGATTCAGGACCAAATTACTGGTAGAGGATAACACTAGCTTAATGATAGGATCGCCTGGCTGTCAGGATCCTTTTCTGCAATTAATAGTTTGATACAAGGAATGAGCACCAAGTGTTCAGCATGTGTCTTACGTACCAGAACATCCTGAAATTCAAAGCAACTACTTCTGGTGTTCTTTAGCACCATCCTTACCACCTCAAAATACACTGTAAGACAAATACAGATCTTTCAAGGAACTACCTCTTTTTTCTGTGAAATGTGGAAATTGTCTTTTTTCCTTCAAATTCCTTGGATCTGAGAAGCAAATCAGTCTGTACTTCAAGAAACTCCGGGATAGGAATTTGTAGTCTTAACCCATTGCATTGGATGCTCCTCCTCTTCCAGTGAGGTACAGAATTTGTTCGTAGCATTGAGGTGTCGCAAGATGTTAAACCTCCACAGTGTGACACGATGACATGCAGATAGCTGATTTAGAGACATCTAAGTGCTGTAGCTGTGTTTTCTTTCTGTCAGAAAACTGAAAAGTTGTCCCTCCTTAGAGAGTGAAGGGGATGGAAAACAGCAGCAGCACAATCTGAAATAATTACTTCACAAACTTGTACCATAAATAATACATGCTGTTGTAGCATAAAGATTTTACGGCCATTCAATTAGAATGATCTGCCTAAGTCATTACTGATGCAAAATATGTACTTTTCCTCTACCCCACTCTCTACAAACTGGCTCTCTGAAACTTTCACTTATTTATAGTAACAGGCAGAAAGGCAATTCCAGGCTGCACGTCTAGATTATGTTTCTGTGGTATAGTTTAGGGATCTCTGTGTTCTTTTCCACATAAGTTGTCCTGGAGTTTTCTTGTTTAACCTTTTTGCCATTTCTCTCCCAGGTGCGGATGTACAGGGGTCTCCTGGACTGCATAAGGCAGATCATGCGAGAGGAGGGCCCAGGTGGATTCTTCAAGGGCCTTTCGCCCAGCTTGCTGAAAGCTGCTGTCTCTACTGGCCTTGTCTTCTTTTGGTATGAGCTGTTCTGCAGCCTGCTGTGTGCCCTGAAGAACACCGATAGCACTATGAGGACAGAAGGCTGAAAGGGGTGTGTATGTGGCTACCTGGGGTTCTCCTGGAGGAAGGGAAACTGATGGCTTTGCTCTGTTGTGAGCATGTTGGAAATGTCAGAGCTCCCAGAGCTCCACCAGCCTGCAGGAAATCGCCTCGTGGGACCAAGCAGAAGGAAAAGGCGACTGCAGTTCTTCTGAAGACACTGAACTGCTTTGCTGGAAGCTGTTCAACTGAGCACTTTTTTTCCTCTGTCTCCTCTCATATCAGCACACATTTAGTGGGGAGCGGGGGAACCAAGCAGAAAACTACCTAGCAGAGACTGTGCTCTGAAAAGGCACCCAATAAAGTGGGTGAATTCCTGTGCTTGCCCTGGATCACAGAGAGGGATCCTGGCCTAGCTAGTGCTGCATAACCAACGTAACGTCACTTCCTATCGCTGCATCTGCACAGCTTTATTTCCTTGCTTTATGGCCTGCTGTTTGCACCGTATTCTTTTTTTGGTGTTGCACAGGTAGCTCTGTCCTGCTGTTGTGAAGTCAGTTAAAACCTCTTTAGTGTGCACAGAACCTCCCTTTTCTTTGCTGCCAGCTGCTGCTTCTTGATTACCACTTGCTGGCTGTGCATTCTCAGCCACCTTAAACACAGAATCTTCTAGTGGATCATGCTGACCCAACCTTTCTCTTTCTTTAACTCTGGTGAGCTTGGTTGTATCCTAAGTGCCCATTTCTCTTCCTGCATGTCTTGCCATACATCTCTTAGGGTTTTGCTTTGCCTCGGTCATGCTTTTTACAAGTAGACCTGCAGATTAAGAACCCCGCTGTAAGGGGATTCAACACACAAGCCCAATTCTTACTTCAGTGTTCTTTGCTTTGATGCAGTGAGTAAACAAATGCTGTATAGAGTTTTAGAAATACTTAGTCTAAGTTGGAATAATGAAGAAAAAGTCCTGTGGAAACTAGTAAATGTCATTTTTGGGGTTTTTTTAAATACCACTTTTTAATGTTTCTAGCAAGTATTTCTGTAGTGGCCTCAAAACATTTCTGAACCTCAGTCCTACAGTGGTGCTAACAAATGAAAATGTTTTGACAAGATTAGCTGAAGTGAGAGGACTGAACATCAAATCAGAATTGGTTGGTTTGCCCTGGTGTTTGACAAGAAAAGGATGATTGAATTAGAGCTGCAGAAGTGTTTTTCTGGAGTTTAAAAGGTTTTGTGAATGGTAATAAAAAAAAAAACTACTCTGATTTACGTAACAGGGAAAAAGAGGAAAATTACTTTCTTCCTCCTCTTTTATTCTTTGTTTTTTCAAGCTGAGCAGGGTGTGGCTGGACCAGTGTGTGGAAGGTAGACTTCAGAGGAAGAGCCACTGATGCAAAAGCATGTTAGTTATCTGGCGAGTAGTGGATAGGGCAGAGCACTGCAGTTATTTAGAGGATGGTTTGATGGTTCTTCTCTTCATGCAGAACTTCTCGTGGCTTCTTTGCAATGTTCAGGGTGTTAATCCCAAGTGGTCTGGCCAAATTCCAGCGTGACTAATTCCATTCTGTTGACGTAACTTCTCCTGGCGATTTTGAGCATATCAGCATTGCTCACTTATCCTGAACTATTGTGAGAGGCTGTTTTTAAAGAGCAGCTGTCTCACTGGTGGCTGAGATATCTAGAGAGATTCCTTGCAAGCCTAGGCCAAATAACTTTGTGTCTGCTGTGGTTTGAGATCTTGGAGTGCAAAGTGGCTGTTTCACTGCAGGTGACTTTGAGAGCTACGTAAAATTAAATTCACTGAGCAGTGTCAGTGTCAGGCAGGAGGCTAATACATGAGCCTTGAAGAGGGAGTTAGCTGCGTGTACTCTAAAAATGGGCAGTTTTGTTTAGAGGAGAAAATGCAAAGAATGTGAAGTTTCTCAAAGTGCCTCAGTCCTGTTGACATTTTCCTGGATTATTTAGGCTCTTCTGAGATTCCCCGAAAATCTTCTTAACAATATTTTGCCTTTGTTTATTGTTCATCTGTTGTTCTTGGAAAGACATCATAATGAGTAATGAACTTAGCCTCATGACATCCTTCTGAGGGAGAGACATATCTTGTTTCAAAACAGACACAAACAGGTTGGGTTCGTTACTGTCTTTTGGCTGCTGGTAGAGAGGAATGCTGTCGTGGTTAGCAGGGACAGGACTGAAAATTTTCTGTCCAGACCTAGGCTTCCATACAAAATCAGGACCCATCTATCCTGTCTAAACATTACAGGATTCTTGTTTTCCACTTTATGTCAAAGAGCTGCTGTTAAACTGCACAAAATAGAGAGGAACTGGTTAGGAACTCAGTAGTGGGAATTGCTACCTCTGGAACAGAGTGTGAGTTGCTTTGGTTGTCACAGGGGTAAAGAATAAAAACCAAAAAACTGTGTGCTTTGCTAGGATGATGTTCCTCGAGTGTGCTGTGCAGCTTGCTGCTGATGCAGGCATACAGCTTTAGGGACGTGCAACTTGGCTGCTCTGCAGAGAGCGCAGCAATGGAGAGTATAGAGCAGCTTTTCCTCTCTGGGATATTTTTTTCCTTCACTCTAAATTAAATGAGCTTGTCTCCATCCAATAGATGGCAAAGTCAGAGTTTGAGTTATGCCAGTCTGGCCCAGGCTGTGGAGGAGATACTCCCTGGTCGGAGGGCTTTGGCACGCAGCCTGGTTTATATATCCCTTTGGGCTGTTAGTCATAAATGTTACAGGCCCATAAAGGCACCTAGTCTTCTAATGACTGAAGGAGAAAGGTGTGACAACCTCAATTATACAATATTAGAAGTTGCATCTAACAGTTGCTTCATCCTTCGCCTCTGGTCAGCAGCATCTGTCATAAATTCCCAACGTGCAGTTTGCTAACTAGGAGTCGCTGCTGGGGAAAGGACTGTGACAGCAATGTTGTTTTCACTTTGGGAATGAGACCGGTCTAGTGCGAAGCAGTAGGACAGGTCTTATTTCTGATGCTGCTCTGGCAAAATACAGGCCATTTGAAGCTAAATTTCCTAGACTAGAGGAGCGGGAGATGGAAGAGATCTCTAGTCACCTTGTTGTCCCATATGTTGGAACAGATTTGCTTTCAGAAACTACACACCAGTTCAGTTTCAAGTGACTCAATGCGGTGAGTAACTTGCTGTGAGACTGCACCGGATTTTCCCCGTTGGGATGGCTGGGATTTCACTATGATGTAATCCTATCAGCGGGGATTTGCGTTGCCTGAAATTCACCTCACAAGCTGCTCAGCAATAGCGTTTGTTTTCTTCTAGTGCCTTTTACCATCAGAATGTCCAAAAGCACTTTAGCAGGCAAAGTGTTCCAGATGAGTTGCACTGTAGTTGTTAGGGGATCCACCGTTGCTCTTTGCTGGCCTCGGACAGGAGAACATTGACGCACAAGTTCTGTGATGAACACACTGTTTCCTACAGCGCCGACTGGCTCGCTGAGTTCCTAGGACAGTCCTGTTTTCAGGAAGCTGCATAGCATCATTTTTGAAAAGAAATGAATGTTTTGCAGTTGGGTTTGGAATAGATTATATTTAATTTGGGTTTAAGTTTCTCTTGTGATGTAGAACTGTAATTCTCTGCGGCATTTTGCTGTGTTGCCTGAGTGGATCTTTTGCAGCTGCCATTGTCTGAAAGCATCCGAGCACAATGTGCACAACGCCTGCCTACCTTTGAGAAAAGGTACATTAAATATTTTGTTATGCTCATGTCTGCCTGCAGTTTGTTTATTGCTTTCCTCCTCCTGCGTACTCTCAGCTGGACCCCGCAGGACCACCATGGCCCTCCTGCTGCCCAAAAGGGGGGATAATCAGGGCCCAGAGTGTGGGGCAGCAGGAGCCGTCTGGTTTTCCCTGCCCATTGCTGGCTCCTGGATGCTCGTCACCAGCAGGCAGAGCCGTCCCATCCCCTCTGCGGTGTGGGGCGACGCTTTGGATATCGCTGTTGAGAACCGTACCAATTGGGATCGGCCAAGATCAACCGCTGTGCCCGAGAGGGACTGTCGGAGCTACGGTGGCTGCTCCTGGGCCACACACCCGTGGTGGATGGGTTCAGTCTTTGTTTATATCTACCCGGGCCACACAGCGCTGCAGAAAATGTTCCCAAACTGCTCGTTCTGCATTTCCTGAGCTGTTCTCTGGTTTCAGCAGCCTGGCTGCTCTGCTGTTTAAATGCTGCGAAGCCTTCACCCCCTGAGGCGTCTTCCCCTGTGAAACGGGTGGGACTTTAGAGAAAAAGCATCTAGTACGTTATACCACACTCGGCTCTTGTGGCAGTGAGTTGGTTTAGTGCCTCTCCCCTTTCCCGATTTTTTTCTATTCTTTTTTTTTTTTTTTTTTTGCCGCTCCGCTGCAGCCTGCCCTGGCCTGGAGGCGGGGGGGGGCGGGGATTAAACGCTGGTTTCGCCCGGAGAGCAGCAGAGCTCTCGCCGGGACAGCCCGGCCGCTGCTCGGCTGAGGAGCCCCGAGGGGGACCGGGCCGGAGGGGTCCGTGCCCCCTCCAGCCCGGCGGGGGGGGGGGGGGGAGCCGGGGAGCAGCCGGCCGTGCCTGCGAGCGCCCGGGGCGCAGGTGAGGGTGCCCGGGGGGGGGGGGGATGCGGGAGGAAGCCGCCCTTACCTGGGGGGGGTGCTTCCCGGGGAGGAGGCGGGGGAGCCGGGG